TTATTTCAAGTAAAAATGTCCATATAAACATGTGTCCTAAACGGCTTGGGGTACAAAAAGGATGGACGTACAAAATTTGAAATCAATTCCCCCATCGCATTTTTTTCACAAAAAAATTCATAAAAACAATTTTGTTTTCGCGCGTTTTTTCGTTGCGAGAGGAGAAAAAGGGGCATAGATACCTAAAAAGGTTCGAAAAAATCGAATATTTTTATATATTTTTAAAACTTGATATCTTAAGAATGTTTCTGTAAAATTGATCCAATGAGAAATGGAAAAGTTACACAAAATAGTCGAGCGCACTAGACAGATGGCATATATCCGAAACAGGATCTTTTAAAATATAAAGAAGGGTTTTTCTCGTTTCTATTGTATTCATCAAGCCTTCGAGCAGCAAACGATTTGTTTCATGGCCCTATATTAGAGTAGGTGATTCAATGTAAGTGTAAAACTTTTAATGTTTTCATAGTGTAAATAGAATGTAAAACTTTAAACGCGTTTTTCTCGAAACGCGTGACCTCTATAATATCTTGAAATGGCTTGACTGAGCGACCTGCAATTTTACACACTTTTTCTAGACAATAAAAACTAGTTTTTGTGACGTAGGATTTTTTTTATAATGCTTCGTTTTTTTCGCAATCAAAAACCAACAAAATTTTTAGTGAAAAATCGATATTTGACTTTGACTAGCTGCTATGCATTTTGTCCAAATGCAATATTTCAAAAAACGGCTATGTCAAAAACGGCTATACTAGATTTATGTTTCAACTTTATAAAGCTTGTGTCATTTCGCTTTCAGATGAATTTTGTGAAAGCGAGAGTGGTCACCGCAAATCATGTTTTTTAAAAAACTAGCTTCACAACAAGAATGTTAATAACGTCGTCATTTTTAATTATTTTTTAATAAAATTTAAATGACAAAGAGAGAAAAATACACCCTTTACAAAAATACACTCTTTTTGTGTATAAAAGTATTAAGGTACAGCTGCTAAAAAATGAATGGTTTAGTAACATACATAAAGATACTTTTCAGTCCGATTAGGCTCGAATTAGCAACTATGAAATAGCATTAAAGGAAAATCTGTTCATTTCTAATAATTTTGTATAAGAAAACTTTTCATTAGCATGTCATAATCTACAAAATATCACAATTTCAGCCAATTCAACTGAAATAACTTTTTTCATATATGATTAGTGCGGAATCATTTATGTTTTTATTTTTTCGTAAAAAAAAATCGGAGCATGCAAAAGAGTGTAACTGGGGTTTAATCGCTGGAGAATAGCCGTTGCCACAGTGATAGTCAAGATACTTGCGAAATACGAAGATACTCGCTTGTTCAGTTCGCTAATCCGCGAGCAAGGGCGTCGTCCTTGGTGTGCTCGTCTTAAGTACGTGGCGTAATAGAAGCGATCCGCCGATACCGAGCAGCACGCAGTAGAAAACGCAACCAAGTACGTCCAACGAGCACCGCGTCCGCGTCGTTGCTCCGCGTCGAAGCGTTTCACGCGCATTTTTAGTCGGTCAATGACTCTGAAGTTGTATTAAACACCGGCTACGCCGTAATTGAAATTACGTAGTACTGGAGCTGGAAACGCCCGGCTGGCTACGCATGCGGTTTCCTTCGTTGCCCAGAAGTATATCGAAACCACGATAAGCAGAATACGAGGTGTATCCAATCATACACAATAGTGTCATTGGCGAAACTCAATTGCAGTCCAATCTCGTTATTCAAAGTAATTGCAAGCGCGTGATTCATTTATCACTTCCTACAATTCATTTATTACTTTATTATAACTAAGTAAGTAATAATCACGAATTCGAAAGCGAGGAATGAATAATGTGGGGTCTACAATAGAAGTCGTAGCGGTCGTAGAGTCTTAAGTCGTAGAAAATTAACCAGAGTCGATTATTCTTCTTATATTTGATTGTGATTGGTTAATTTTTTACGACTTAAGACTCTGCGACTGCTACAACTTCTATT